GAACATCCAGACTGCAGTTAGTGCACATTATCTCCTCCCAACACAAAACCCTGCCGGGGTGGGGTGTGTGTGGTCATGCCCTGTAAACAGATGAAGAAACTGAGGGTCAGAGAAGGATGGTCCTTGTCCCAGAGCACAGTTGGTGAGGACTAGGAGCAAAAGTTGTCCCTGTAGCCAGCCTGCTTCAACAGTCTGAGTACTGCCTGGTCATCAGAGTCCTTCTTCCTAGACAGCCTTACTGCTCAGGTGCTGTGACTTTGAGCCCAGGCGCTTGCTTATTCCCATCTGAACAATGGGGGGTTTGAGGAAAAGATCTCTGAAGGGTTCCACTTCTGAGGGCCTGGTCAAGATGGTTTGAATGCCACATGTAAGTATATCCCTTTCCTGACCTGTTGGGATATCTGGCTCATGGTCTCACAGCTCACTCATGCATTACTATCCTGCATTGTGGCAGCCTGTCTCTCTTTATCCCCAATCTGGCTGAGCTTTGTATTTCCTGGGCCCCCTATCTGTGTCTCTTCATCCCAGGTCTCTCTATCTCTGAGTACTCCATTCTTAGTAATGCTCACCTGGTAAGCCTGGTTCCCACTGGTCTCCTGCAGTTCTCCACATGTGGCCTTCATAGAAGGAACAGGCTGTGGCTGAGCTATGGCCCAATTAACCCTCAGGCCCCTCCTTCCAGGCAGGTCTCCCAGGGTATTTTCCCCCAACATAGTCCTCCTGGTGCCACGACATAGCATCTCACAGATTAGGTATGTAAGGGAGGTAGGATTTGTCTCTGGGCTTTGCTGATAATGAGAAGATCATCATTAACAAACCCCAAGGGCCCAGAACTTTACACTAATGGTGCAGCCTTCATTCTCATTATCTTATCTGATCCTCACAACAGAAGAGACAGAAAGTAACAAGAGTATAACAAGAAGTCTACAATATGGAAAATGATTCCCAGGAAGTGAAATAATGTCCATATTTTAACACTGTGGCTAAGGCAGAGCTAATATTCTGATACTGGGTCTATTCCCTGCCTAGGGTTCTGGCCACTAAATAGGATTGCATAGTGGTCTAGAGGATGAGGCCTGGAACTATTAAATATTAAAGATCCTATATTGGTTTGCTGGTTTTGTAGTAGCTTTTACAATGACCCATTGAAATACTAACATTCCTTCCAAGGAAATCTCTGGTTCCAGAAATAGTTCTCCTTCCTCTCATTACATAGCCACAAATCTTTCCTTTTCTAAACAGATGTATTACTTGTCCCCTTTTTTGCCTGTAGACTCAGTACCATGAGGTGTTCCAGAAGTTCAGATGGCAATCTCAGCTTCCAGTTCAATGAAATGATCATTCTAGTCCTGGTAGGCGCATTCTACTTTTAGGAACAAAAATGCAAAGAGCAGCAGAATGCAAGGTTGGGGAGAAGGAAGGAGATATTTTGGAACTGGGTTCTTATGGCTGGTGAGAGAAGACACTGCTGCTTTATGCTTACTTTCCAGACATGTGTATGCTGGCCATAGACTCTGTATGGGCATGTGTTCTCTGTATGTGTTGACTGCTGGTTAAGACTATGTATCTTAACTTGTTAGGCAGCATCCATACCCTGCCAGGTATTGTCATTTAGCAAGCAGTGACTCCTAAGTATATGAGACTTACTGCTTCACTTCTATTTGCTATGAATTGATTCCTTTGTCAAAAACAAGGTCATATAGAATATCATTGTGATGAATAAGGTATTTATTAAATCCAAGAAGATGATGCTGGCGGAAACATTGGGAGCAAGACAGGCAAATTCATAACCTGAATGGGTTTCTATTCCACTAAAGACAAAGCAGTGTCCTCTGCCACCCATAGCTGGCCAGTTTTCTTGAACAGTGGCTCATATCGCAGTCTCAGTGATGGCCTCCATGCTGTTGTATTGCGTTATGTAGCAGCAGCTAAGCCTGAGCAGTCTTGAGGAACCCATGTACAATCTCCATCCTTGCTACTCTATGGCCTTGTTTTTTCTTGAGTCTTTTGTCCAGCGTCTGGGGTGCCTCAGAAAGAGTCTGATATCCGTGGGTGGATCATCTTATCTACTTGACTTTGCTGCTCTTGCTGATATTGGAGGCATTTTTCTATCAAAGATTCCCTTTGGCAAATAACCATTCAGCCCTCAACATCCTTGTAATTTGTGTCATTCTGAGGTTACTGCCTTAGCTCTTGTCTAGATTTACTCATCACCAGTCCTCTTACTTTGTTCTTTCCAAGTTCTTGAATACCCTCATAAAATTATTGGTTAATGTTCACAAACTGATATAGATCCATACCTTTTTTCATTTCATTTTCCACATGAGATTTGCTTAGGAGAAAAACCGTAGATATTGCCAAAGGTTCTGCTCATTGATAGCACTCATTTACCTCATTTGTGATCCTTCAGGGTCCTACTACAAATAGCTATGATGCAACAGGAGTTCACTTGTGGGTGGTCCCAGCACATTTTAAAGAAATATCTGTAACTTAAGTCCTGAATGGATTTTTCTTAAGGAAATTGATTAAAGAGAATTCCCCGAGAGGCTGTATGTTAGAGTTCATGAAAGATGGCAATTCAGCAAGCCTGGGTCATTAGAGTCTGAACTACTTGCTCATGCAACTTACTTGTGCCTTTGAGGGTCTTCTTGAGCCTAAAATAATGTTTATTACTTCCACTGGATGATAAGATATTGTTGTAAAATTCCAATTTTATGTTTTGTATCTTTAAATTCATAGCCAATTTCTAAGAGATTGCTGAGGTCCGAAATTGATTTAGTGTTACCTGGTCAGGCATTTGTATCTGCACCAAGGCTAGGAAGAAATTTCTCAAAAGGAGAATACTTATCTACAGAAGAAAACATGGGTTTGCTCTAAAGCACTAGTGGACTGTGTTTCTCCTTTCAATAGTTCATGTCCCCTCAAAAATTCAAGGAGTTTTAAAAAAAAGATTTGGTCATGAAAGAGTAGTTTGAGATGAAAATGTCTGGCTAATTGTAGATAGTAAATAGTGCTGCAATAACATAGGTGTGCAAGTATCCCTATTGTATACTGACTTACATTCCTTCAAGTATATAACCAAGGATGATATGGCAGACTCATATGGTAATTCTATTTTTAGCTTTTTGAGAAACCTTTATAATGATTTCTATTGTACCTGCACTAATTTACAATCCTACCAACTGTAAGGTGTCCTTTTTCCCTGCAGCATTTGCTGTTTTCTTTCTTTTAATTTTTGGTGGGACTAGGGTCTGAAATCAGGGCTTTGTGCTTACAAAGCAGGTGCTGTGCTGCTTGAGCCATGCCTCCAGTCTATTTTGCTCTGGTTATTTTGAAGATGAGGTCTTGAGAGCTAGCTGCCTGTATTGGCCTCAATCCAAGATCCTCCAGATCTCAATTTCCTAAGTAGCTAGGATTACAAATGTTGGCCACCTATGCCCGGCTTGTTCTTGTTTTCTTGATGATAGCCATTCTGACTTTACATTATTGCTTTATATGCCCACATTCCTCCCTTTTGGAATGGGAATGTTTACTCTGTGCCACTGTATATTGTTGTAAGTATATGATTTTTTTTTTTATTTTACAGGGGCTCACAGCTAAGAGTTTGCCTTGAGTCTCAGAGGAGACTGAATTTTGAACAAAGTTGAAACTATTAAGCCTTTGGGGACTCTGAGAGATGGACTAAAAACATTTTTCCCTATGAGATGGTCATGAACCTTTGGGGCCAGGGGAGGAATGTTAGGGCCTGAATATGAAATGTCCCCCACACGCTTGTTGAATGTTTTTCCCCATCTGGGAACTTGAGGAAGTGGGCCTAGCTGGAAGAAGTAGGTCACTGGGGGGCATGTCTTTGAAGGTTATACCTGGTCCCCAATCTCTATGACAAAACTAATATAACACCTACTAATCTTTAAAAAAAAATAAGGCTTATGTTTAGAGTAGTTTTGAGTTCACAGCAAAAGTAAGTGGGCAGTACAGAGAGGTCCCATGCATGCTTTGACCCTTCACAGGCATAACCTTACCCAAGAGGTACTTCTTGTACAACTGTACAAATAAATGTATATATGTGCATTTAAGTTGGTCTTGTTTTCATTTCTGTCCTAGTGCCCTACTCCCATCCTCTCCTTATTGGTAACCATATTTATTAGTTTATATTTTTTCTTATTTTTTCCTGAAATGCTCAGCAAGTTGCTTCTTTTATGAAAACACTGTGCTCCTATGAAAACACTCTTCTTACTTAACCACATATCTTAGAGATGACCCCAGATCAGAGAGCTTCCTTGTTTCCTCTTTGTAGCTGCACCATACATTTTATAGTTTATTCAACCAGTTCCTTATTGATTAATGAGTAATCTAAAGAATGATTGTCAATGAATCTCTGGCATAGATTCTTAGACACGAGATTGCTGAGTCAAAGAGTAAGTACATGTGTATTTTTGGTAGGAATTGCAGTAGTGTTGTACCAATTTGCTTCCTTCCAAGCAAGTTATTTACATGCATATTATCAAAATATTTAGGTTTTTGCAAATCTCATTAAGTGAAAAATGATATTTCCACATTATTTTAATTTTCATTTATTTTAGATAGCTGATAGAATACCTTTTTTGTTTAAAAACTGTTTTTGGTAATCTGTATATCCACATATTTTGCCCATTTTTATATTTAGATGTTGGGATTTTTCTTCTGTAGTTATTAGATGCTCTTTGTATTTTATGAACAGTTGTCTTTTTCCTGTAGTATGTTTTTTATTTGATCTTTTTTGCTTATAAAGGTTTCATTTTGCCTTCAATATTTAATCATTAAAAGTTTACTAAGTCATTCAGTAGTAAAATATTTATAAAACAACTTAAGATTCCTATAAAGATTAATATTATTCTATTACATCAAGAGGAAAACCCTGGACCAAATATAAAATCATTGTAAGACTGTCTACTCAACTGAATTTTATTTTGCTGTTATATGTTCATTAGTTTAGTCATTCAACAATATTTATTGAGTTTCTACATTGTTATTTGGTGGTCTAGGAGCAGAATTAACTTCCCTAGATCAAATGTCCATGTCATAGCTTGGGCCTTGAGATAGATAATTTTGGTGATGGCTGCCTTGACATCCTTGTTCCTCATGAGAGGGTTGGGAACAGGTGTGAGAATAACATACACCACATTGTCCATGATGTGGAATTTGAGGGCAGGTCAGCCCTGTAGGCCATGTAGGCTACAGCAATGGATGAATAGTAGGTGCCCACCACCAGGAGGTGCGAGCTGCAGGTGGAAAAGGCTTTGGAACGTCCTTCTTGGGAGTCGATGTGAAGCACGGAAGCCAGGATGTGGGCATAAGAGAGAAGCACCAGGAGCAGAGGGAAGAAGGACACCACCATGGCGATGCAGAAGCCCATGAGGGTCTGCGAGGTTGTGTCAGAGCAGGAGGCCTGGACCAGAGCAAAGTGATCACAGAAGCAGTGGTAGATGTAGGCAATGTTGTTGTATGCCATCTGGGAGGTCTGTACCACTGCTGGGATGGGCAGCAGGAGGGCAGTGAGCCAGGCACTGGCCTCCAGTGCAGTATTGGTCTGTGGGGTCATATGGACAGGATAGCACAATGGGCAGCAGATGGCCACATAGTGGTCATAGGCTATGACAACCAGGAAGAGGGCTTCTGAGCAGTTGAGGCCATGGAATAGGTACATCTGCAAGAAGCTATCAGGGAAGCTGAGGAGATGGTCTCCCAGAAGGTATAAGGACAGCATCTTAGGGACGGTGGTTTTAGTGGGAAGGATGTCCAGGGCTGAGAGTTTAATTAGGAAGAAAGTACACAGGCTTGTGGAGGCTGGGTTCTGCCACCAGAATCAGCACATTGCCCAGCAGAATAAGCAAGTAGAGGAAGAGAAAGATGAAGAAAATAGGAAGAAAGAGGGATTTTGGCAGAGAGGGGATGCCTATAAGGTAGAAGATGACTGGGGTTTTGCTTATTCATTACAGGTTATGGTCTCCATGGTGGGTTAAAGCTGGATGCTCATAAAGGGGGCAGACCAACATCTGGGAAAGAGGCCCATCTAGAAACAGAACAACCAGAATTCCAGGATTGAGAATTGCCTAACGATCACTGCATTAATTAATAAATGTAGCCACATTCATTTTCGACCAATTAGAGGACAGATGAGATCTGTCCTATCTCCATATTCTTCATTGTCTCCCCAAATTCTTTCTTGTCTTTTTACATAAAAATGTACTCATGGGCTAGAAGTGTGGCTTAAGTGATAGAGTTCCTGCTTTGCAAATATGAAGCCCTGAGTTCAAAACACACACACTCACACACAAAAGAAAATGTACCTTTAATAATAGAAAAAATGTGTCATTTGCTGGGTAGACAGTAGACACATTCTACTATTCTGAAATTCTAGAGACAAATAGACATTAAGCAACGAATCACAAAATTGTCCAATTGTAAGTGTTATGGACAAACTTTAGCTGGTCCTTTTTCTATATCCAACCTGGGCTCTTGGGGGATATCAGATCTCTTAAATCAAAACTACAGTTTCTCTTCTTTTGGAATTTGCTCCATGTTTTAAATAAATGACATCATTGTCTCTGTGCATCTAGGGAGGACTGATTTAATCAAGGCTTACAGCACCATGCAGACTTCCCACCATAATTATTAACCAGGAACTGGCTCCTTTCTCTTTCATTTGCTTGATGCACTGGTTCTGCTGCCTACATCTAAGATGAGTCCTCTGTATCCTTTCTCAGGTGTGGAGCTCTTTCTAATTGTTACATGGAGGGGAGAGACACTAAAAATTCACTCCATGGGAGGGCCGTTCCTGATGGTGGTCCTGATAATGGCCTCTCCACAATCCTGCGGCAAGAGAGAATCCAAGGCAGTGTGCAGATTTATCGACTGTTCCTCCCTAGTGGGACAGTTCCACAGGTGAGCTCCTATCTGACCAGTGCACACCCATACCCAACAGGCCTCCCAGACCCCATTCAGAGATGTCCTGGTGTCCTGGGAAGGCTTGGGGAGTGTTGTTGGTAGAGATGGACTGGAGATCTGCTTGTAGCAGCTGTTCCAAGGAAAAGGATACCAGAGAAGTCAGAACTGAGCATTTCAACTCACAGATGTGGGAATTTGAGGTGAAGGCAAATACTAGTTTATTCTCTATTTCAGTCTTGTCCCTTTGATTAAGCGACCCCTGGTGTAAATCCATGTTATCACTAGTATTATTTTTCCTTCTATCTGGATGGTTCCATGAGCAGGGTCCCCTTATTTTCTTAGAGTTACTTGTAATTTCCCACTATTCTAACAAAAACATCTGTCATGCATAAAGGCAGTAGTTTAAAATCTGGAAAATCTTTTAATTTTTAATTTCCTTAGGTTAGAGATTGTGCACAGAGAGAGCAGGGGATCTTTCAGGGCCACAGCTGTCCTGATGCCCCACCAAGAGCACTAAGCCAGGTCTTCCACTCCCAAACAGGGATCTTTTACTTAGACATCTTTCCTGCAGAATCCAGAAGATTGTTTCCCAGGGGAAAATATTAGAACAAAGGTTTCTATTTCTATTCTGAATTGATAATATCAGAAAAAGCTAACTTTCAAGTTGTTTTCTGGATCTATATGTGGCAGATACTAAACTGGTGTTTGGCTCTTACATTTATTCAACAAGTTGGAGCTGCTGTATTCTGAATTATTTGCTACACCTAAGTAAGGAAGTCTTGTGTTTTGGACCAAAAGGACTCTGCGTGGCAGGGCACAGATTGCCCCAGTGGATCTTCCCTGCAGAGACTGTCTGTGAATCACTTGTAGTGCTGTTGGAGGGGGGACAGAGCCAGTCATCTGAAAGTCTAAACTGCACTTGGTGCACATCATCTCCTCCCATCATACAGCCCTGCCAGGTGGTGATCACACACCCCTTCAACAAATGAAGAAACTGAGGGTCAGAGAATGACGACCCTTATCCAGGGCTGTGGCTGGTGAGGACTGGGAGCAAAGGTTGTCTCTGTAGCCAGCTTGCTGCAACAATCTGAGTCCTGCCTGGCCCACAAGAGTCCTGGCTCCTGCAAGGCTTTGCTATTCCCTTGCTGTGACTTTGAGCCAAGGAGCCTTGTTTAACTCATTTGTGCAACAAGGGGTTTGAGAGGTTTGAGATCTCTGAAGGGTTCCATCTCCGAGGGTATCCTCTGTGTCTGGCAGGCTGGGGTTTTAGAGCCAGAAGTCACATGGTCCATGCTAAGGGAGACAGAGGGCTCTTCCACTCAGTAAGTCCTTGCTGCAAGGCCAGATTATGTTTTTAAAAATGTTTTTGTCAGTATATAATAGTTACATATGGGGTTGTGTTGTGACAGTTCCATATATACATATATTGTACCCCAGTTCGGTTCATCCCCTCCATTATTCTCTCTCTCTTGACTCCCCTTCTTAAAATGACTTCTGCAGTTTCAACGTTCCATATTCATACATGTATAGAATGCTCCTCAGCCATATTCACTCTCCTTCAGCATTTTCATATGCCTTCCCTTTCTACTAGTACCCTCTCCTTACCATGACCTGTTCTACGTCTCTGGCCTTCATTGTTTCAGTGTCTGTTCATTGTTCAGTAGGGTTTTGCTTTGGTATTTTACCTGTAAATATATTGTGTTTTAGTCAGTATACCCTCCATTACTCTTGCCCTTTTCCCCATACCCTGTTTTGGTCAACAGTTTTCAATGTGTTTCATTATGTCTTGTATTTCAATATTATGTGATGTATTTCAATATTATTCACTCTCACTGGTGGAGTAGCTAAAGTGGTAGAGCTCCTGCCTAACAAGCATGAGGCCCTGAGTTCAAACCCTAGTGCCACACCCCCAAAATATTACTCACTCTCTATCATTCTTTTCTTCTTTTCTTCTCCCTTAGTCTCCTCTAACTGTCCCACTTTTGGAAACATATTATATATACATATATTATTATACATATATCCTCTAGGTGGCACTCCCCTGGAACTGCACCCACCATCCTCAGGGATCACGACATAGCATCTCAAAGATCAGGTATGTAAGGGAGGTAGGATTTGCCCCTGGGCTTTGCTGATAATGAGAAGATCATCATTAACAAACTACAAGGGCCCAGAACTTTACACTAATGCTGCAGCCTTCATTCTCATTATCTTATCTGATCCTCACAACAGAAGAGGAGGCAGGAAGTAACAATAGGGTATTACAGGAAGTCCAAGAGACAGAAAATGAGTTCTAGAAGTGATATAACATGACCACTCTAGCACTGTGGCTAGAGCAGAGCTAATACTCAGGTCCAGGGTCTATTCCCTGCCTAGGACCCTGGCTACCACACAGGATTGCATAGTGGTCTAAAGGATGAGGTCTGGAACTATCAAATATTAAAGATCCAGTATTGGTTTGCTGGTTTTTCTATTAGCTTTTACAATGGCACATTGAAATATTAACATACCTTCCAGAGAAATCCCTGATTCCAGAAATAGCTCTCCTTTCTCTCATTACATAGCCACAACTCTCTCCTCTTTCTAGTCAGATATATTACCTGTTCCTTTCTTTGCCTATGGACTCAGTGGCCTGAGGTAACCCAGAAGTTCAGATGGCAATCTCAGCTTCCAGTTCAATGAAATGATCATTCCAGTCCTGTTAGATGTATTCTACTCTTAGGAACAAAAATGCAAAAACCAACAGAATGCAAAGATGGGGAAAGAAAGGAAATATTCTGAACTGGGTTCTTATGGCTGGTGAGAAGGGTAACTGCTGTTTTGTTCTTGCTTTTCAGACCCATGTATTCTGGCCATATAGCTCTATCCATGTATTCTGCCCTATGTATTGACTGGTGGTTAAGACTATGTATTTCAACTTGTTAGGCAGCATCCATGCCCTGTCAGGTATTGTCGTTAGCCAGCACCCAAAACTGAGTGTTCAATCAGTTATCCCTTCATTCAGCCAGGCAGGTTGTCTCTCTTGTGACTCTCTCCCACCCAAACACTATGGCAGGGTGTCCCAAGACTCCCTAAGCTGTGATTATTCCTTGTCTTCAATTCGTCAGAGTGCTCAGGCCCTCTCTTAGAATGATGTCTTACTATTCTTCTCAGCAATGAGAAAGCTTCTGTAGAGCAAATGAAAAAATTACCAAAATCAAAAGGTAACCTTTTGATTATGGGAGAAAATCTTTTCTAGCTATTCATTGGATAAAGGATTAATATCCAGAATATATAAATAGCTCCGAAAGTTGAACACCAAAAAAACTAACAATCCAATTTACAAATGGGCAAATGAACAGACAGTTCTCAGAAAAAGTAACAAATGGTTAATAAACATATGAAAAAATGTTCAACATTCTTAATCACAAAGGAAATGCAAATTAAGACAACACTGGGATTTTATTGCATCACAGTTACAATGGCTATCATCAAGAAAACAAACAATAACAAATGCTGGTAAGGTTGAGGTGGGGGAAGGAACCCTTATACACTGGGGTTGGGAATGTAAATAAGGGCAGCCACTATGGAAATCAGTATGGAGGTTCCTTAAAATATTAAAAATAGAACTCCCTTATGATACTTTTATACCACTCCTGGGCATATATTGGAAGGAATGTAAGTCAGGACACAATGGAGACACCTGCGTACCCATGTTTATAGCAGCATTATTCACAGTAGCCAAATTATGGAAACACCCATCAACTGATGAAAGGATAAAGAAAATGCACAATGGAATAGTATTCTGTCATAAGGAAGAATGAAATTATATCTTTTTCAGGAAAATGGGTGAAACTGGAAATCACCATGTTCAAGCAAAATTAGCCAGACTAAGAAAGACCAATAGCACATGTTCTTTGTCATGTGCAGAATCTAGTCCTAAAAAAAAAAAAAAAAAGAACAAATAAGTATAAAATAGGGGGACTGTTTGGGGGTGGGAGTCAGCGGAGTAAGGAGGGTGAAAGGAGAGTGTGAAGGTGAGTGAATATGGTTGAAGTACTCATACGCATGTATGAAAATGTAATAATGAAACTCGTTAAAAATGTATTAAAAGAGGGGATATGAAACAGCAATACATAGGGTGAATTTGATCAAAGGATACTATATGCATAAATGGAAATATCAATGAAACCCCTCTGTCCAATTTATATATGCTAATAGAAATAAAATATCTAAATTTTTGCATTAAAAAAAGAGAATGAGGACTGGGTATGTGGCTCAAGTGGTAGAGCCTAGCAAGGCACTGGAGATGTGCCTCAAGTGGTAGAGTGCTTGCTTTGCAAGTGCAAAGCTTTAAGTTCAAAACCCAGTCCCACCAAAAACTTGCCTAGGAAGAAGGAAGCCCTGAGTTTAATCCCTCATATTAATTAAAAAAAAAAAAAAGAGGATGAGCTCTGTGAACTGTTGGGATGGGGGCAGTAGTCTATTTCTTTTTTTTTCAATGGTGGTTTCATGGGAGTATACATTTGTGAAAACTCATCACTTTCCACACCTCTATGGTGCATTTTCTTGTTTGTATATTGTACTTCAGTAAAGTTGATTTTAAAAAACAACTATATCTAGAGGAAAACAGGGGTACAATAAATAAGTTAGTGGTATTTGAAGTCTGTGCTATAGGGTGGCCATAGGTAGAGTTGGTGAGACTCCAGAGTTGTATGCCAGTATGTGGAGATGAGATAACCTATTTGTCAATTGCCTGTAGTCTTTGGAATTTTATTCCTAACAAGCAAGGGCAAACCCTTGATGAACGTTTGTCACCTTAGAACATTTTTAAGAGAATAAAGAATCTACTCATAGAGGTGAAGATTGATTAGTTCTTACATAGTGTGGTTGAAAATCTCCAATACTAGGTTGGACAACTGGAAGTAAATTCAAAACTAGACTTGCCATACCATGCTGTAGCAGGAAGAGTGCCCAATTAGAACCTGATCGAGTACATTGTCTAACTGCAGCCTGAGTTCATTTCCCAAATGCTGGGTTCTACAGCCAGTGTTAATTCCTTGATTCAGAACCTGACAATTGGAATGTGGATACCCAAGAAGAGTTATAAGAGTTGAGAACACTTGGCAATTCCAGCCCACCTGAAACACACATCCTACTCTGCTCCCCAACCTCTCTCTGGGTAAATTTATAATTGTTTTCTTAGAAGGCCATGTCAGAAGCAAAGGAGAGAGGGTGCCAAAGGGCAAAGGAATTTTAGGGGAAAAGCTTCCTTTTGCTGTATTTCAACACTAT